GTCAGCTCTATCCATTTCTTGCTACTACCAAATTTTATTTATTTATTTATTTTAGCTTTCAAAAGGGGCCTTATATTCTCAGCCTTGTCTTATTTGGGTTTTGAAACTAGTCAAGTCATTTCTCAGGCTGCTGTGGTTCTCGCCCCAGCCAGAGTCTTCGGAGTTGAAGAAGTCCTTGAACAAGCAGATTACCTTCTCCATCTCCATCCTCTGCTGCGGAATCTTCCGCCCAGGCAGTCCTGGCTGGCCTGGCGCATCCAGAGGAGGGGCAGAGGGGGACGCGCAGGGTCAGGGTCGCAGGGTGCAGAGCTGGCGGTGACGGCCATGACCCCCACCCTCAAATTTTTTAGATTCCCTAAGCCTCGATCTTATCTGTAAAATTCTTATGTTATACATGTAAAATAATATAGTCACTTATAGACATGTCTGGCTCTCCCTGCTAGACAGACTATGGATCTTCAACCTTTTAAGAACTACAACCCACAGTAAGAATATATTTTGCCTTGCGACTCAATTCACACACGCACGCACACACACACACACACACACACTCCCTACACAGATCCATACATCCGTATACATAGATAACAAACAAGTTTCACGAATAGTGCTTGCCCTCTCTCCTTGTAGCACACATTGATCTACCCTATCCTATCCTATCCTATCCTATCCTATCCTATCCTATCCTATCCTATCCTATCCTATCCTATCCTATCCTATCCTATCCTATGCTAATTCTTCCTATTCTATCCCTTACGATGCTGGTCATGACTCACTAAATTGATTTCACGAAGCACAGATGGGTCAATGTTAAAAACGCTGTGCCCGTTTGGGTTCGTTTATGTAACAGAGCATATTTGATTTGTTTTTGTATTGCTATGTTTTGGTATTGCTACTGGCAAGCGCAGTGCCTGGCACAAAGTAGGTATTTGGTAAATACTTAGCCTAGGACTGGGTTTTCCTTGAGAGCAGGAATCTTTGTCTTAGTTACCTTGTATCCATCCCACATTTAGCATAATTCTTCCCACAATATTTGGAGACCAAATGGCTAAAATTCAGGCCTATTGCCAAACTTTAGAGATTAAACATTTGGATCAATCAATATCTGACAAGCACCTACTATGTGGCAATACATAAATACCGAATTCATAGCTCCTTGCCTTAATTATCTTAAAAGCAGTGTGGGATTGCTAAGGGTCCGATCAATAATGTTGCCCTACCGAGAAATTAAAAAAAGGAGTAAGACATATGGAGGCCAAAATAGCACCTTTATTAATAATAACAACTAAGTGTCAGAGAACACATAATAATGTGAGAGCCAGTCAGACCTGTTATTAAACCCTAAATTGAGGCAACGCTGAACTAAGAGGGCCCTCCCTATGCTGACGGCCTATGCAGAGGAGGCATGAGGCAGCCCACACCCAAGAGGAATGTGGGAGGAGCTGAGCTCAGCAAACCCAGCTTGTTTTTCCTAAATGCACCAATTACATAAGTCATTTCTCCACTGACCAGGGACAGAGGGAATAAAAGAGCATAGAGAGACCACACATATTATTACCAATTGAGATTCCTCCATTGGAAGGAAACAGCAGAGGAGAGGTAAGTGTTCCTCAGAATCAGATTTGGGAAACAAGACATATATGTATATTCATATATATGAAATATTGAATAGTACTATAAAACAATTCAAGGAATATCACAAGGTAGGTACATAATTAATTGCTAAATGTAGTTGGCACTGTGTTTCTCAAGTCTGACTGTTCATCAAAACCTGGAGAAGACTAAATAATTACAGACTCTCTATATTCCCCTCACCCCTTCAGTACACCTGGCTTAAAACCCTAGACTCCAGGGTTTTTTAAGCTTCCCAGTAGTTCCATTGTACAGGTAAGGCTGAGAACCATTGGCTTAGAGGAGCTAGACAGACAACTGAACAGGAATCCGGGAAGTCTTACTGGGAGGGAAATTGGACAGACATTGTGGGATAAGTAAGATTGAGGTAGTGAGAAAGGAAGCAGCAGAAGTTTTATACAGGGATGAGAAAGGTAAGTAGAGGGACTCCAGAAATAACCATGGCTCAAGAGTAACCTCAAGATCTCACAGATTTATTCTTGGAAAAATGATCTATGCTAATCTAGCAAATGATATTACATGTGGCCACATGGTTTAGTGGAAAAGATCTTGGGCTTTTGAAAGTTAGGAGACTTTGGTTCCTGGCTGTGTGACTTTGGCCCAGTCACAACATCCTTCAACAGGATATTTAAGGGTCATCTGTAGAGACAGGAGTTCCTAAAGCATTCTGGGGAGATGGTTGAGCGGTCTTCCCCATTTCAGGAAATGGCACTGCCATTCACATGGGAGCTCAGGCTAAAAACCTAGGCGTTATTTTTGATTACTTTTTCTCACCTGTCTCTGCATCTAATCCGTCAACTAATCCTGATGATTCTCCTTCCAAAACATAGCCCAAATCTGTCCACCTTTCACCGACTCCGTTGATTACTACCCTAATCCAAGACACCACCTTTCCTTTGGATTACCCCAGAGTTTTGGATTCAGTAGATCTGGGGCAGGGACTGAGAACTTGCATTTCCAACAAGTTCCCAGCTGATGCTGATGCAGCTGGTCCAGAGACCATTCTTTGAGAACCACTGCTTTAGAGCAATGGTTCTTAACCATGGGTGCACATTAGAATCACCTGGGAGCTTTTAGAAATTACTGTGTTTGGGCCTGACCGCCACAGATTATGATTCATTTGGTATGGGGACGAGGTCTGGCCATTCATAATTTTTAAATCTCCCTCGGTGATTCAAAATGTGCATCCAGGATTGAGAAACACTCCAAAGGCTTACAGGAATGGCTAAATTTGTTTGCTCTTTGTGGCCTTTGCTCTAGCTGCTCCTATCACCTGGTACACTCTTCCTGGTAGGTCTTTCCTTGGGTGGATCCCTCTTGTCATTCAGGTCTCAGATTAAATGTCGCTTTCTCAGGTAGGCCTTCCCTGATCTCCCAGTCTAAAATAACACTCCTATCTTTATCACACTATCTTGCTTTTTTTCATTATAGGAATTAGCAGTTCGTGAGATTTCCCTATGTATGCTTATCATTTGTATCTTCCAACTATAATAAGCATCTTGAGCATAAACACCTTTGCTTGTCTGATTCACTGCTGTAACCTCAGCACTTACACAGTGGTTGGCTTCTATCAGGTATTCAATACATGTGAATGAAAGAGAAATAAAAAGCTTTAAAATAAATTCTTTCAGTTCTTGTGTGTGCTTTTCAATTATTCAGCTGGGTTTTAATAAAATGTGTTTTATTTATGCAATAGAATTGAACCATGTATGAAAAAAGCATCAATTGATTTTTCTGTAAATGTATCTTAATTGCACTGGGTTCATTCTCTCTTCATGGGAACCCTGTATTAAATCTGCTACAAAGTCATTATCCCTTAATGTATTTTCATATACAATATTTGTTCACAATACTGCTGCTTAGAGAATACAGATCAGAGAGTAGGGCAGCTGGGTATGGACAGGATATATCTATTAAATCAAGGAATTGCTGCTTAGATTTTATTTACTTGTTTTTGGAGACAGGACAGTAAATTTGCAGAAAAATGGAAACGTAGTGCAGGGAGCAATAGTCACAGGAAAACGTGAAGGCTATATCTGGTTCCTTCTGAAAGTGGGCTACACATTTATCCTCTCCTCTTCTGGGGGCACCTCTTTAATGAATGAATGTAATCTGGCGGAATTGAGTTTTAATTTCAGGTACAGATAGAGTACTTGAGATTATTGAAGCATCTTGTTTCACAGTGGTTTGCTCAAGCCAGTGCAGCAAAATCTTCAGCTGTGGGTCATCTGTCGCGTGGTCTCAAGGAAGGAGCTGAATTAAATTTACAATTCAAGTGAATTAAGGGCAAAGCAGATGTTCTTAATTCCCTCGTGGACCATTTCTGAAATGTTACCTATGAAAACAGAACAGTTTCCCTATTACAGGTGAAAAACAGAGATTTCCTGTCTCTAGCCCTTCTCTTTGGCAGGAATGTGGGTGTTTCCTCAAAAGTCCCGTTTATCCAGCCTTCGCCTCCAGCAATAGGGCTAGGTTTACACGAAACCAGTTTTTAAGGCAATTGCCTCCCCTTTCTTCCCTCTTCGTGATTCGTTGATCATGGCTTTAAACAAAACGACTTTGTGTGTGGGGTAATGGTTGAAATCACTCTGGCGCTTTGGTACACGCCAGAGGAGCAACTAACTGCGCGGATTCCGAGAACACCAACCCGCAGTCGGTAGACAGAGGTTGCGGCTTGAGAAAAACCAAAGGCAGAGGGGGCGAGAGGAAAGAAGCAAAGCCGCTGAATCGGCGGTGCATTCTGGGAGTTGTAGTCCCTACGGGGCTGCCTCCTCAAGCCTTCACCCGGCTCTGCACTCCACCTCCCAGCCACCCCCGCGCCGCGGAGGAGGCGAGTGGCGGGGGCGCTCGGTGATGAGCTGCCGCGGGAGGAGGGGGCCTGGGGCCGAGAAGCTGCCGCGGCCGCCGTCGGGAGACGTTAACATTTGCCGTCCTTGGGGGCCGAGGGACCCTCGGGCGGGTGGCGACGAGGGCCTGGTGGCCAGCACGCGTCCCTGTGCTCGCCCTCTCTCCTGTCCACGAGCGCGCGGCGTCCGCCATGGAAGCGCATCCGGCCGCTGCCGGGGTCTCCGGGCGCCGCGTCCCCGGCTCCCCGGAGCGATGAGGGAGTAGGGGCGCTCGCCTCCCGTCCGCGCTCCGTCTGCCCGGCGGAGAAGGAGAGTCGGTTGGGTCGGTCGGGCCGGCTGCCCGCCCCGCCCCCTGGGGGCGCTGCGCCCCCTCGCCCCCGCCCCCTCCTGCCAGGCCCCGCCCCCTCCTCGCC